GGCCCCTCCCCGAGCCCCGCCCCACCGCCTCACTTGCACTGGCCCTCCGCGCGCTGGCAGTCGAAGCCATCGAACAGGCAGCCCACAGAGTTGCACTGGCTGTCGCAGCGGCCGTTGCTGAAGTATTTCCAGCACTGCAGCGACTGCGAGCAGTTCTGCCAGGGGTCGTTGAAGTTGAGCGAGCAGTCGCCGCCGTCCCAGCCGCACGCATGGTTGTTGCAGGCCAGGCTGCACACCTTGTTGCCCGCCTCCTCGCGGCACTCGGGCAGCTCGCACGCCTCCTCGATCTGCGGCGGCGGGATGTCGAGGCCCAGGCCGCCCCCGAAGCTGTAGTCCAGGATGTGGCACAGGAGCCCGTTGAACTTGGCGGGGCACAGGCAGCGGTAGAAAGGGCTCTCGGCTGTGGGCTCGCAGCTGCCCTGGTTGTAGCAGGGGTTCCCGCCCACGCAGGGGCTGCCGGCCGGGAACTGGCACTCGGGGCCGGTGAAGGCGCCCAGGCACAGGCAGGTGGGGCTGCGCGGGCCCGAGATGCACGTGCCTCCGTTCAGGCAGCGCCGGCTCCCGCAGGCGCGTGCATCGTTCTCACACGTGGCGCCCTCGAAGCCCTGCGGGGACAGGTGGTGGCGGGGCGTCAGGGGGCCGCAGCCCGCGCCTTGGACGGCACATTCCCCCCACACACGGAAGCCGGGGGTCGTCAGGGGTGCTCCGGCAGCGGGGAGGACACACAGGGCAGCGAGTGTCGCTGCGTTTGCCAGAACCCTGAGCAGCATGGCTCACACACTGTAACCCCGATGCGGGCCGGGGAGAGCGGGGTGTGGCCGGTCCCCGAGACCCCTCCGAAAATAATCTTCCCCCAGAAAGCCTGGGTCTGGGGCCCAGGAGGACGAAGCCCAGCTCCAGCCACCCCCCGCCCTCTGGCCCTGGTGTGTGGTGGCAGCGAGGGGGCACTCTCCCGCCCCCAACAGGCCCCCCGCGGCGACACCTACCGCGGGGCACTTGCAGATGAACCCGCGGGCGGTGTTGGAGGCCACGGCGCAGGTGCCCCCGTTCTGGCAGGGCCTGCCTTTGCAGCCGTTGATGACCGACTCACAGCGGCGGCCTGGGGACCAGAGTGGGAGTGAGCGCTGACCCTGCCCCGCCTGGCCCTGCCCCCGCCCTGGCGTGGCACCCACCAGTGTGGCCCGCGCGGCACTCGCAGTAGAAGTCATTGACACGCTGCACGCAGTTCTGGGTGCCACGGGCGTCACAGGGGTTGGACAGGCACTCGTTCACGTCGCCCTCACAGCGCTCGCCCACGAAGCCGGGTGGGCAGGTGCAGCTGTAGCCGCCCACCTGGTCCACGCAAGTGCCGTTGTTAAAGCACTTGGGGCCCCGGGAGACGGGGTCGATGGGGGGGCTGCAGTCGTCCACGTTGACCTCACAGTGCACGCCTGCAGAAGCCCAGGTGCCATCAGGGACCTGTGCTGGCCACACGCTGGCCCAGCTCCCTCCTGACGGCGCTCCCCCCGGCAACTGGTCGGGATGGGACCACACAGATGCTCAGGAGAGAGGACACGGCCACAGGGCTGCACCCCACACTGGCTGCCGGGTGCCTGTGGCCTGGCTGGGCTGCCTCCCTTGGCTCCTTCCCCGCTCAGCCCCACACGGCAGCGTGGAAGCCTGGACCGGGTCTAGCATGCTTGTGGCTAACGCCCGACGCGCCCACTTGTCCCTGGACCCCAGCCCTGGGCGGTGGCCAGTCCTCACCCTGTGTGCCCCGGGGACAGGAGCACTTGTAGGTGTTGGTGAGGTCGATGCAGGTGCCCCCGTTCTGGCATGGCTGCGACACACACTCGTTGATCTCCTCAGAGCAGTTCACCCCGTGGTACCCAGCCAAGCACTGTGCAGGGAAACAAACAAGGGGTGGGGGCCCGTGGCTCAGTGGGAGGCGGGGATGTGGCCCTCCGCACGCTGTGTGGACCGACAGGGGATCACACAAGCTACCCTCTTGACCAGCAAAGGCTTGAGTTCCTCACACCCGGTCAACCCAGAGAGAGACCTCCACCTAGTGGACTCTGAGAAGGGCCCTAGCAAGCTGAGAGTCACTGCCCAGAGCATGGGCTAGAGCTTGTCTCGTGGAATAGAGGTGGGGGCCTCAGGGCAGGTGTCAGCTGGGCCCAGAGGGAAAGCTCTGGGGAAGGGGGCCCAGAGGGAAACCCCCCATATTTCTATGTAGTCTTCCTCTTCCACCAGGCAGTCTTCCCTGATCATCACAGCCCTCCCTTCCTGGGACCGCACCTGTGGGGTTCAGTCTTCCCTGCCGTGCTTGCTCACAGCCTAGGGCCTGGCATGCGGTGACAGTCCCAGCAGACCGCCCCTCCCCCAGGACGGGCGCCCACCTCACAGGAGTAGCCACCCGGGTAGTCGGTGCAGGTGGCCCCATTCTGGCAGGGGCCGGGTGAGCACTCGTCCACCTGGTCCTCGCAGTAGCTGCCCGTGTAGCCCGCCTGGCAACGGCAATGATGGGTGTTGCCCGCGTCCATGCAGAGCCCCCCGTTCCGGCACAGGTGGGTGACGTTGATGTCTGTGGGGAGGCAGAGGGCAGGGCCATGAGGCCTGGGGCCGCAGCTGGGGGACCCGGGGGTGGGTGCGGCCGGTTACCTTGGCGCTGGGCGGCCACCTCACAGGACACGTTGGGCACGTCGCAGTAGAGGCCAGTCCAGCCGCTGTGGCACTCGCAGCGGTACCGCGTGTTGGTCTGCCAGCACCTGCCGCCGTTCTTGCAGGGCGAGGAGTCGCACCAGCGCACGAGGCTCTGGGGACGGCAGGGGCGCCCATACTCACTCCCCACCCGGCCCGGCCCCCGGCAGAGCGCAGCACACTTCTGCCAGACAGCCCTGCACCCACGGTGGGCAGCCCACCTACAGACCTGGAAGCTGAGGCCTGTGGGACCCCCCGCCCCCCCACCGCGGCTCGGGAGCCGCCTGGGGCTGGGGCGGGGGGCTTGCTCCCTTTCTCTGGGCCCTCGGCTAATCCAGAGCCGCCTTTCCTTGAAGAAAGATTTTTCTTTGGAAGTAAACTACTCTGTTGGGAGCTTTCGTAACAGGCACCTTACGTGAAAATCTTCAATAAAAATACATCTTCAGTATTGCTGCATATTTTCCATAACAAAGCTGGTTTTCCGCTGCCTCCCTCCCCTGCTTCTTGCTCTCTCTCCATAAACCTCTGGTCCCGCTCCCCACTTGCTTCCTTTGGAGGCAGCACGGCCCGGGGCCGGGCCCTGGGCTGGCAGTCGGGGGCCCCCGCGAGCCACGTGACCACGGCCACCCCGCCCGCCTAGCCCCCCGCCTTCCCCAGCGGCATGGGGAAGCCGCCG